CAACCATACTTTGCCTTTTACTTATGTATAGTGTTAAAAGGTCTGAAACCAGGTGAATGAACACTTATTGAAGTAACAATATGATCATCAGGATGGATTTTACAATTCTGAGAAGAACTGTTTGACGTGTCTGACGTTGTGACTGCCTCTGTGGTAGTAATCAAAGTGACTTTAAAAATGACTAATGCAGAGGATGTCAAAATGTCAGTCACATCATTGAAACAGTTCTTCTCAGAATTGTAACATCCAATTCGATGATCATATTGTTACTCTGATAAATATACCTATTTATTATATAAATTATTATGAAATACTAGTGTATCGTTATCACTTAAAGTGATGTCTTTCGCATGTGAAAATAAGATGTTATTCGCTACGCWCACTCGTTGGATATCAATTGAACACTCAAACATAAAATTTGTATCTCTGCGTGCCAATGTAATATCCTCTATGTATGTTGTGTGGACACGACATCAGGTTATGGTGTGAGTAATGAATGAATTGTATTTAAAACTAACACAGTCAATCCACGGCATGGCTTCACACTATCACTCAAACAGAATCTGCTGTATTGATTCAAAGCAAGAAAACCGAGAAGTTCAAAAACCAGTTATTTGATACTCACCCTCTTTTGACATATGCATTGACTTTTTCCTGTAAAAATGGTCTGAACACAACAATGTTGTGCCAGCTTGTTTTACCTTGAAGCTTGTCTGGAAATTAAAAATAGCAATAAGTACTTTAGTAATCTGGAATATTGGATAATTAAAATACTCACCATCTTTTGATCTGTAATAGTTTGTTGTTCCCAGAGAGAACCTTGTGACAGGGTTCTCATCAGTCCCAGAATGCACTGGGTCACTTCCAGTGTACCCAATTAGTTCAACACTATTGAGACCTGTCAATCAAACATTGCAAATCAAAATTATACTGTAYAGTAGCCTAAAATACCTTATGTTTATGAAACTATATTTTAATTCAGGATAATAATTCTTTACGTCAAAAAATTCCTATCTCTAAAGATCAAGATAATAAATATTCAGGCCCAGTTTCAGTTAAAGAAATTCAAACAAAACATTTAAAAAGCGAAAATATATTTTAAAACACATTCCGCAAAAAGCAGGAATACCACAYAACAATACCGAGCTTTCAGCACTACTTGACCGTTTTGAAATTTGAGAAGCGCGGAAATAGCGCGCGATTTTGAAACATTTGACAGTGCGATCGAATCACGTCCCAAGGTATGAACACAAACCGCCTTGTATCTCTCGCTTGTAAACACATCGTTGAAGTTTAAAAGGAAACATATACTAGAGTATATTTAGTGCATAATACTTGGAAATATTTGCAAAGAATGGCGCTTATTTCTGTACGAACGTAGGATAATCCTCTACAAATCTAGGAAGACGTTCTAACATAACCCTGGACGATTCGTTGGGACAATAACACTGAAAAAGAGCTWAAGGTAAGACTTTCCTTAACTTATATAAGTATTGAAAGCTATTTWAAACTATTTAGATTCACATCAGTGCTTAAATGTTTGACATTTTGAAGCAACTTACATCGTCCGCCACGAGGGGTTTCTCCAAACGGAGCCTCACATCTTGCGACAATTCGACGAATCTACGCAAAGAAAATTGAACACAGTATAATATAAAGATTACTGATTAGCTTACTAAGGTTATTTTTCTAATATTTTAGTCCTAACTTGCCTGCAGAAGCGATCTTCTTGCGAACATTTCGAGATAAATATTGCGGTGATAGCTGCAACGCACGTGTAACCTCCCCTRGTMCAAAATTCTCCCATCCCCTCCATACTGGGGCAGATTTTTGCATTTGTGATATGATTTTTTTCTATTTGAACCTTTTTTTATTATTCATTTGAATTTCATTACATTTTTACAATCATTTTACGTACCTTTTACAGTTTTTATATTATTTGTGTATTATACAATTATTGTTTTTCCGATCCTGACAAACTAAAAAATCCATCCTATCTCTAAATTTTAATACTATAATCTTGTTATATTTTATCCACTGTTTACAACTTTGGGAATCTAAATTTTCTACCACTTACAATCCTTCGTGAATGCTTCGCCTTATCTAATGTCGGAGAAAGTTCGGGAAAGTACGAGAATATAAATGGTCGTGAAACTTCAGATACATCTACGAAGTTGATCGACTTTTTCCTTTCGCAATGCATRCTCTTTTGTTTTAGTTTTGGTAACTTGTTCTTGTCCGCTGCGTTATCTTCTAATTTTTTATCTCGTATTCTCGCTTGTTTGTAAAAGTTTAAAAGTTTGTTGTACCTTTTGATTATAATCTGTAAATCGTCCGCTTTGGCCGTTAAGTCGTTCCTTCTCAGATTGTTCAAGAGAGAAATAATATAGRGTTTATTTGTGAGTTTAATTGTCGTGGTTTTCTTGAACTTCTGGCTCAAATCCCTTGCAATGTCATACCTTAGCTCACTTCGTTTCAATTCACCTTCGATTTCTTTAAGTTTCTGCTGAGTTTCGATGATATCATTGCAACTGAAGGTGCCACCTTCAACGTTTGCAAAATACTGCCATTGCTGTCTGTCCATGTCTGCTTTCTCCTCTGGAGTTTGCTTCAAAATGTCAAACTTCTCTTGATAAATGTTCTTTCTTTTCAGGACTATTTGATCCATTTTTTTAGTCAACTCTCTCTGAAGTAYCCTTTCTCCTTCCATAACCTTTGAAATGATGTTCCTTCGTTCTTCTTTGAGAGTTCTGTAAATTTCAATGGACGATTCAAACTGTAATTCGCGTTTTAGAGAGTTTTTTCTTTGTTGTACATCTTCTGTGGATGCTATATTAGTTAGTTCAATATCCTGTACCAAAACAGATAGTTCTTCATCTGTGAAGTATCCGCTTGATTCTCGTCGAAGCATTCTTCAGAATGAATAGAGGCTGCCGGATTGCACAACCTGTCTATGAAGAACGATTCATTGATGCAAAAACCAATATATTTGACGACGGCACAAAATTATGGTTGGCATAAACCACTACTCCAAGAAGCTGGTAAAAGTACTTCTTCCTGGTATTAATATATGTGTAGATCTGGTCGTAACCATTTATTATCTGGTATATTTAAAGCCAGCCTATTTTCCAGTATTTATAGTCCTTTTCATTTCGTGTAGTCTGCTACAAGTGAAGTACATTGACGTATTCAATCGGTGTGACCCGATTGTTGTCAAACAATATCTGGTTTCCTGGTATTATGTGAGGTGTCATCGATTACGAGTAGAACTATAAGTAGAGAGGTATCTAATCTACGTAAGGATTAACACGCAATTAAATCAGGTTCGATTGAGAAACCCAATGATGTCGGGTGTGTACATCGACTTTAAGAACGTTGTCACTTACAACTAGACTTCGCAGAATGCGATTGAGTTGTGTATGGGATATTATGAAAACATAAGCTAATAATGATGTCTTCGGGTGAAATAATTATCATTTGAGCATTTGTTGGCATCCCATCTACCATGCACTTCGATCTAAGTTGCCATATCTCTGATCTACTGCGTAAAGAATGTCTTTTAATCATAACTATATCTGAGTGTTCCATGATTTCTATGGCTACACACAAAGATCAATTAGCACCTTTCGTTGACCATGTTATTAAAAATTTACTTTCGAACACTTGTTCATAAAATTCTTCATTATCACGCCCCTCATCACACCACAAACATTTAGACCAATGTTTCAATTAGAATATTGCATCAGAAATCTATACACATTATAGGATTTGATTATTTTTGTTTTTTTAAAATAACCCACTGTAAGGTTTAGGTACTAAGTAATCCCTAAGTAATAAGTTCCCATATTTTAGAAAATAGTAATTCAAAAACCGGCTCCCTGATTTTGCCGTTAAAACATGATGGACATTTTAGTTTCTACGGTAACTAATTTAAGTCTCTCTTAAGATTGTCATAGTTACTGTACTATATTTATATCAGTTTATTCAAAAATGTTCATGAATCAGAATGTTGCTCACAAAAAAGGGACTTGAACTTGAAATTACGCAATAAAAGCTTTTTTAAAAGCTTTTTTTTWWAAGGAAATGAYAAAGTTTTGRATGGAGTCGTTTTATTATTATTATTGTTGTTATTACACTCAATTGAATAAGCCTTTGTCGGGCTGAATAAAGAAACTAGGACAGCAAGTGTTCACGGGAAGTTGCGCAACTCGAGTACTGGTGATGGTTTTACCGCCACACGTACAATAAACTTTTTACGTTATGTTTGAACTTGGTAGCCAGTGTGAATCTAATACAATTAATTAGCATACTTCCCTTTCGATATATTATTTTGAGCCCTGTATTATATACTTTCTAGATCTACTCGGGTTATATCATAGTTAGTAGTAACTACGGTTATTTGTAATATTTGTGTAACTTTTTATAAGTAACACGTATGTACTATTAGCTTTTTTCATCTTCTGACTGCGAGATTCACCGCCAGCCTTGTTTGTTATGATTTAATTTATGAAAACAATAAACACTCGACAGAAATAGCTGTTATGCATTTGCGGTTGTAAGCTTTCAATTATGACCGCGTCCGAAATAATTAAAGTAGTTGTCCGTCAAGGCCTCGTAACAAATCAAAAACATGTTTTTGAATTAGTAACACCTAACTAACACATATTAAAATGTTAAATAGATTCTGTTTTGAAACAGTTTTTCATCGTTGAGTGGAGAGTTTTTTTATGAAAGGTTCTTCGATAGAGTTCTATGTTATGGTAGTATCAGGATTTCTAGGGCAAGAGTTTGGTTGCAGTCAAGMAATCTTCTAAAAGGCGATATCTTTTGAAGTGCTCTTGACGTAAGTTAACGAAAAAGATATTACACMACTCGTGCGTCCGTAAGGATAATTATTGTCAATACCTTCAAAGACTTAGAGAAGCAAAGTGGAACCTGCAGCCAAGTAACTGCCCCTGGCCTGAAGTATATAGTGTCTAACAAGGTTTTTCTTTCAGAGAACACAATTAATTCATTCTACATTGGTAAACTTCTCACAGGGTTACGAAAACAAATTGGATATCAGCAAATATGACAGACTTTGTCATTAARTTTYAAGAAATGGAAAACGAAGCTCTCTTCTCKTTCTTTTAAATCCATCCATTTTCGATTGYATGGTAWAGTAAGGTGATACACAACTGTGGAATTCGTATTTAAAACTTTGCTATTGTCGTAGCTGAATGTTAAGACTAAGAAAAGTTTAGCTGAGACAGAAAAAGAAAAGAAAAAACAACGCCATTGAAAATCATAATTAAAACTTCAGTTAAAATATCTGAAGTTCCCTGCCAAGAAATAACTAATGACTCAACCCAAAGTGAAGAAATGTCAGAAAATATTGRAACGAATTACCATGACGACATAGAGTTGACGTCATCGAGAGATATAATGTCATTATATGGGAATGAAACAAGCTTAAGGAGGCTTAAAATGGACTTTGAAGCTATTCCACTAGATGGAGAAGTGAATTTTGACACACAYCTCGAATTTACAGATGACGATTCTGACTTAAGTACTGGCAGTTCCTTTGAAGGCTGTTCAGATTTYTCGAATGAAAGTCAGATCGCTATGAAAAAGCAATCACATGGAAAGATAAAGAAGCGAAATGTCGAAAAAGTGTRAAAGAAAAGTGGAAATACTGACAAAGATCAGGAAAATATTGAAAAAGAAACATTCTCTGAATATAATGTCAAAAATAGACAATTTAAATTGACTGACGGAAGRGGTGAGGAAACGAAGACTCATATCGATGATCGTGAACATGGGCAACAAATCCAGGAAGATTTAAGTGACCTGCTTATCAAGAAACTGCAYGGAATAGGAAAGATATCTTCAGAGAAAAACTCATTAAATGGCGATCCATTGAATATATATGATATTTACCCTGGTAAACCTTCTATCCTTTTACAAACTAGTGCAAAATCGTCATGTACACCGAACGGACCTATGGAAACGCCTAAACAATTTGTTCCAACACTTAKAGTCGAAGAAATGGAATTTAATGGGCATCAAAATCACGAATTGATTACGAGAAACAACGAAGATGGAGAACTGAAAACCTTCAATTCCCAGAAAGACGGTTTAAGGGTACRCCAGTATATCAAGCCCTCACCTTTAGGATCTAAAACCCAAAGAGGTAAAAGGTACGTKAAAAGTGCGCCGCTTAAGGGTGATGCTGACAATGAAAGTAAAGGCAAATTGGAGAAGGATATCGAGAAAACTCCGCACAGTGGTACAATGCAGAACAATACAGACYAATCTAAGAAAAATATGACAGAACTTCAATGGGAAATTGAAGACAAAGAAAGTGAAGAAATTCACTCACAAACCAACTTTAAGAACTTAGAATCGAAGGAACTCGGGGCGGGGAAGGCTGAAAAAGCAAAAAGGAATTGCTATAATGGCAATACAATGTGTGACAAAGAAGAGAGTGGTATTCCTAACACCAATCCAACAATACTTCAGAAGGAACTGAAAGTTACTTCAGAGAAAGAAATCTCTTCACACGAAGAAAACAACAACAAAGGGAAGATGGACTCGCTTCAAAATAGGCAACGTTCCAAAAGAGTTCTTCCCTCGCTAGCCAGCATTGTCGAGATGGCATATTACAATGATGATTATTTCAAAAGGTTTACGCGTCAAAACTTGTCAGAGCAAAGYGAACTAAAAAAGCATTTCAAAGCCAAAATTGCCGAAGCCAAAAAGACTCTGCGCGAMGCACGAAAGAAGGCACAAGAACAAACAGTRGCTCGACGATTTGACGAAGCTGTCCGCAAACATAGAGAAATGCAGAAAAGAAGAACGTCAACTAGGAGTTCATCAACACCAGCAAGTTCGGTGAAACAAACAGCAAAYCCAACAGACCCCAAGAAAAGATTCATCGACGCTTCTATAGAAGTGACAAAAAAAGAAAAGCTTGAAGTTCGCGAGATCCATAAAGCTGAAGCCCAACTTGATCGTGCGAAAGTAGCCAAGAAATCCAAAGAAAGGTTGACTAGGACTTCGAGACTGGACTTGGTATCGAGACCAACGAGTATCAAGGCAAAAATGCGAAGAGATCGAGAGCGAATGGAGAGGTACGAGGTAGAATATCTAATCTCTGAGCTGCGATATCTCAACATGGAAGACTATGCAAGCAAACTTATCGAGGCACTAGAATTTAAGGAGGAATTAGAAGTGACACTCCGTAATCAGCTCGCACAAAAACGAAAATTTGCAATAGAAATGGCTAAGCGACGAAAGTTGGAAGAGCAAGCAAGGATAAAYGAKGAGGAAAGGAGACGAAGYCTCGAAGAGAAAGAAAGAAAAGAACGAGAAAGGAAAGAAAGGGAAGAAATTGAACGGGAAATGAGACGAAAAGAAGCTCTCAAGCGTCGAGAACAAAATCTTAAGTTATGGGAGTTATATAACTTTACTGTTTTAGCTACGGATACATCACGATCGTTCACGTATTCTTACTTGCCTGCCTTAAAAACACCGGTTCCTGTTAAGGAAGAAAAACCYAAAAAAATTAAATTAAAGCACGTTAAATCAAGATACATGATGCAATAAATGCCTGATTACTTTATTACAATTCATATTACAATTCATCATTTCTGTCTTGAGAGGAACATTGGGGTATGACAGATTAGTATTAGCGCTTATTAGTGATTATAGATTGCAATTATGAAATCTGTAAATTGAACTATATGTAACCATGCAAAATTAAAACTGCTTAAAACTCAAAGTACTCGGTAAATTGTTACTGTATTGACTTGTTTGATAACATTTTATTCGGACTTACAGTATCAACTATTGAAAGAAGTATRAGGTAGTGTTCATTATAAATAATTGAGTTTTTGGACAATAATAAATGCTTCAAAGTTTTCTACACCAGTAGATTGGTATAACATATGGCAACTGGAAAACTGTTTTGCCTTTCAAATCTGGATGGCTGGACAATACTTCTCTCACTTTCTCTTCAACATCTTTCTTCTCGTCGGCACTACTATTATTAATACAACTAATGCACATAATAACATTAACCATGTCGTCCTCGGAGCCTTCTTGATAGAGATACAGGTCTTTAGTCCCCTTAAGTTGACTGAATAACTTGCTGTCTCTAATAGGAATCATCCAAGCATTGTCTAKCATTCGTGGGGTGTTCTCTCTCCTCAAGAATGGTTCAATAATCTCTTGAGTCTTACCAACCCAGTCCACTTTATAATTCCTCATGTTCCAAATCATTCCAAACGTACCCCCYGGGACCAGTACACGGTGGATTTCAGACACTGATTGAGCATTTGAAAACCAATGAAATGCTTGTGCAACGATKACTACATCAACGCTTGCATCAGGCAATTTGATGTCCTCTGCTTTAAAATGCAATATTTCAATTCCAGGYACTTTTTGCTTGAATTTTTCGCACCACGAAGCCTGCGAGTCGCTTGCAATGATTCGAACGTTTGATCGAACATTCTTTAGAACGTCMACAAGCGCTCSGGTAAACATCCCAGTTCCTGCTCCRAATTCTAGAATCGTCAAAGGCTTGGAGGTTTCATTTAAAGCTCCTAACTTATCTAGGAGATATTCTACACTTTCTTTGCTGTACCCAGGTCTTGCTTTTTCGTAGAGGTCAATGTCTGTTTTGAAATCACCTTCGTCCGCCATATTGGTTAGAAAGGCACAGGAAACCCAATCTGAGTTAATTATTAAAAATTTATTCATAAAAATAAAAAAATCATTACAAATTTATAAAATATAGATTTATCATATAATTATCTATGAAATACCTCTATTTCTCCATTTTTGTAAACTTTATATTTTCACTAGTGAAAATAACACATTCTGGGTTTCTCTATATAGTGGAAGTAAGAAAAAACTTTAAGGTATTTTCCAACATAATTTGCTTTCATATACAATTATAAGATAAATAGAATGTTACATGTTCGCTTTGAGATACAAATTGTATCTTCTCGCTATGCTTACTCGTGAGAGATCTTTTCAACACTCAAAATAAAATCTGTATCTCCGTGCGCCCATGTAATATCCTCTATATATTAGATAAGCTCATAACATCTAGATATACATTSAATTACAATGTTAACACATTTTGTTTTTTAGTCATGTATAAAAATGTCTTTATTAGAATAATTAGATGAAATATCTCTGTTTTCCTTATCAATTGAATGTCCATATAAATTTCTTATTTTTACAAATGTTCAAATGTTTTATATTTTTGTGCACCAAAACAGGTAAACCACATATGGCATAATAAAGGTWGTCTTTCCGTCCAGATCAGGATGGTTAGCCAAGACATGCCTGATCTTCATTTCTATGTCTTTCTTTTCATCGGCTGTGGATTTGTGAATAGAGCTAATGGACATATACAAGTCAATAAGATCACATGCTGTTAGTGGTCCAAGGGAGTTATGCAGATCTTCCTTAARTTCAACCGAGGTATACAACTTTGTCTRGTTGATTCGAGGGGGGCACATATTACAGCCCCCTGGGTAATGATATTTTTCATAATAAGGCCTGYTGATATCTTSCACTTTGGCAACCCAGTCAACATTCCASCTATCCCTCATGTTCCATATTGCYCCAATTTTTCCCTTGGGTACCAGTACACGGTGTATTTCTGATAACGCCTCAGCATTTGCAAACCAGTGAAATGCTTGAGCAGCAACTGCCAAATCAACACTTGCATCAGGTAATTTAATGTCCTCTGCTTTGCAATGTAATATTTCAACACCAGGAACAACATTTTTGAATTTCTCACACATCGAAGCTTGTGGATCGCTTGCAATGATTCGAACGTTTGATCGAACATTCTTTAGAACGTCAACCAAAACTCGTGTAAARTTCCCCGTGCCTGCTCCTAGTTCRAGAATCGTCAAAGGCTTGGAAGTGTCATTTAGTGCTTCTAGTTTGTCTAGGAGACATTCTACACTTTCTTTGGTGTACGTAGGCCTTGCTTTTTCATACAGATCGATATTTGTTTTGAAACCCACATTTCCGCCTTCCATGTTGTTTSATAAAGAACACAGGAAACCCAAGCTATGGATTTCACTCACTTGACCTCCTGGTCGATAACAAAAATGCCATTTTTAGCATAGGATCACATTGATGGAATATATACTGTAGAGTAACTTGTTTTCTTTTAATAAGTAATACTYCAATGTAGGTTTCACTAATTCTATTCCATCTGAATCTTTTTCTCTGTTGGGTTTCCTTTGGTAGCAGTCCTAGTCCCTCTCCACCAAAATCTTGTTGCTACAAACAGAAACGCGTCGTATATCAATTTCGGACGAGAAAACCATTTTAAAAAGATACAACCATGAATCAGATGGAACATAACTACAAAATCAAAGACTATAAACGCTACGATCTCCCGCCACCGTATGTTCAAAGTAATTATACTCTTAACAGAAGCCAGAACTTTAGAAACGCAGAAGAGGTTCGTCGTTTAGAAGAACGACTCAGACATGTYCATTGGCCGAGAGAACATAAACTAGGCTGGCTGCCTGATCATGGCGATCGTATGCGATTTACCAGGAACCAACAGATAAGTGTGCTTCATAATCAACACGAGAATATAGTGGACGTGGATGGCCACAGACAGCTTCACTACGAGCATACTCGGCACAATGGAGACGTTGCTAGGGCTGAATTCGACCGCAGTGTACGACTGGGAAGACCTGGTGTAGTCGATAAGATGAGAGGACCTCCGCCATTGTATAAAGTTATAAATAATGGAACTTTAAGAGGATAAAGAAAACTCTAAAGATATATTTTATTACGAGCCTCAGAACATGTTTATTGTTTATATGGCACAGGAAGCCCAATGCATGAATCTAGATTGCGCCTATTTTGGCCTACTACTAGCTCGCTACCTGATATATTGCTTCGGTATGGAAAGACAGTTGAAATTGTACATATCAGGGTTGTTTGATCATATCTTATCGCACTGAACTGACCCAACATGTGATACTCTTTATACATAATAGAAAATTGTTATAAAACTAATCAGCTAACTAAATTTTTAATTGTTGAATTTTACCAATAAACTATTTTTCTTATTTTTCATTATCATGTACTGTCGAAGATAGTGATACGATCATTAATTAAGGAAATCTCGACGTATATCTAAAACTATTTACATTTTTTAGGATTTCATCCATTGATAAAAACAGTGGGATATGAATTGACCATGATTCTAAATCATTGATATGAGATTGCATTTATTCATTTTAACCTTGAAAAATGAAATTAAAAAAATACGAAAGAGATGTTAGCCCTAAATTCAGGACACACATTTATCAGTTATTTCACTTTATCACACGCAGAAGTATAGGAAATAACGTAAAAAAGCTAGAAAATATGAATTGTAATGTGTTTATTATTCAGAGTCGAACAACCAATCAACAAAATTTGTTACTTTCTATCGAGATGATTCTAGAATTGCACACGGTCGAAGACAATTGTCCTCAGTTATGAATTGGTTTTCTGCTTTTTATTCTGACACCTTTTGTAGATCCGGAATYCTAACATTACTTTTACAATATATCTCAGTTGGGCGGTTTATCGAGCAATACAAGTGRATTGTATCAATTCAACCTCTGAACTTCGATCCCTACTTGATTTTTAAAAACGTCCTTTGAAACGGTTTTTTTTTTCTGCTTAAACGCCAGACAGGTGAACGAGTAAATTATCACATTTTATCTTATCTTTGCACAAATGCTTACAACGAAATGAAACTAAGATTTGAATCCCCGATTGTGTCTGACAACCAACGGGATTTCATACTACAAGAAAAATCGTATCAGTTTGTAAGTATATACATCCCCCCTGCTTGGACGATATACACCTATTATGGCCTGACTAGAACAGTATAAGAACCCCCAACGCTGTATGGTTGCTACAGAAACGCACGGCAATTGAGTAAGAATAACTGGTTAAGGAAGTGACCGTCGACACATCTTAAAGATCTGGCGCCGCTTAMCCTTCGTTAATCTTAAATTGTAACAGGAACTGTTTTTCTTCGAGGGATTCGGCTCCGTTATTATATAACTGTGGATAATAACTGCGATCAAGCTCGACCCAGCGGCGGTTAACGCAGTTGGTACGCACAACGCGAAGCCATAAAAAAKCATTTGGCTGACACTTTATTAACGACGTCTTTAAGATTCAAGGAAGGAACACGTATCTTTTTGATCACTAACTACATTTGATTACAAGAGGCCTAAATGATTTGTTTTAAGATCCATAAGTACACTTTAATAACAGATAGAGCTCAAGAGTGCCAATGAAAATCGTCTTATTTGCATTACTACCATTACTTAATGATGGATCGTATATGACTTTGTATACGTAAAGCATATAAATGCTCGGRAGAATGTATACCAATTGAACCAAATTTACATTGACCGAAGGCAAAAGGAGATAAGTTCGAGTGTTTCCTAGGCTCTCACTGGTGTGGACTAAAAAGATAGATATTCAAATATCAGGAACATATTACAAGAGTCTCGCTATGCCTTTTAATATCCCAAATCGCAAAGCTCTACCGGAACTCCCGACAGAACATCGACCAGTGGAAGTTTCTACAGAACATCAACCAACTTTGCTGGAAGTCCAAACACAACACCGAACAGCTTTGCTGGAAATCCCTACAGAACATCGACCAGCTTTGCTGGA